AAGTGACAATAGGGATCAAAAAAACATTCCAATGTAAATCTTGTTCAAATACAACTAAGGTTTCTTAGGATGACACATTCTTTAAGATTAGCAACAAATTGTTTGTCATAAGTTATTAAAAATATATTTCTAAAAGTAAAATATAACAAATGATATAGGTTAGTTAATAGAATGCAAATGCATGTAACAAATACAATTTTAAAAACTTATTTTGAAAAGCATATTGTCCCAATCCACATTAATGTTATAGGTAAACAATTTGAATCATTTAATTTCTTTCTTGAAATTATTTTATTGTACACTTAGTATGTTTTATTGCTTTATCCCCTTCCCATCAGCCCTGCACTGCTAAATTAATAATGAAAACATGTAAATATTGTCCCCAAAAGTGCTGGTTCTCACATGGCTTTGGTGCTCCTGCCATTCCCACTGCACAGGGCAGACTTTCTGTATTCTCTATGACAGTGATGGCTAACCTTGACACCATAAATTGTTTCTGGACTACATTTCCCATGATGCTCAGCTAGCTTTTAGAGTATAAAAGCTAGCTGAGCATCAAGGGAAATGTAGTCCAGAAACAATTTATGGTATCAAGGTTAGCCATCACTGCTCTGTGATGACATTTCTATCTACTACTCTTCCATAATATGCAAGCTTCTGCAAAGCTCATATTAATGTGACAGAACACTCAGTGCAGGTGGAGGTAGGGGAGAGCTCTGGGACAGTGTATTGACACTTGTTTGAATTCTGTAGATGTAGCCTACAAGGCCCTTTAAAAGATTCATTATTCATTTATTAAGGTCACTGTACTGACTGTACTGACTGTGCATGAGATTATGTCCACAGTCAGACATGTACATCCAAAAGTCATATATTATCATCATTTAAATATAAATCATATTATCATCATACACATAACACGTATATAAAGAAACAGAACAGAAATGTTCACACCAAAACACAGTTATAGAGAAAGTAGAAAAGTGAATACAATAATGTACTCATTTGAAATAGTACACTATAACATACATTGCAAATCCACATATTTTCATCCTGTCATTATCAAGTAAAGTTTAATTTTAAGTAGCTCATCATTATTAATTGAATCGTCATACTAGCATGGAAAACAATGAATAGTACTGAAATGCTTTTCCTTAGTTAAAAAAATTAAAATCTACATTGATCATTGTCATTATCTTACCCCTGGTCAGATTTACAGAGTAGATTTATATTTTTATTTCATGTTACTCACATGTTGTAAATATGAGGATTCTCAGCTTTTGGTCTCACCAAAAGTACCCAGATTTTGATGCAGGTGAAATATCATTACATTTACTCTCTTAAGTCTCTTAAGAATGTTGAATGTTGAAGTTATGTGAGGATTATTATCTACAATGAATAATATTAAAGCCACAGCTGTCACTGCCTATATCTACTACTGGGACTAGAAGTGATTTAGTTTAGGTATTATAAGTACATACTATACTACTGTCTTTGCATTTTCATATTGCATTGCTTTAAATATTAAAGTTTTAGGAGGTCTTAGAACTGACATGGTGCTTACTGTCTAATATTACTTTCAAATAAGTTATGACTACTGACCTGATATTACCTTAAATGTCTTTTTCAAACATTGTGTTTCTATGGTAACTTTTAATCCAAGCATAGTGTGAGAGGGCATATTGACCATGGAGCATATGTTCATTTAATTACTCATAGATCTTTCTACATTTCAGACTATAAAGTCATCCTTAGCAACTTCAGAAAAAAAAAAAAATTATAGTCCGTGAGAGAGTCTGGTGAAGCTCAGAGGCACATTTGTTCCTATAAATTCTGTGCTATCATTATGTTATTTTGACACTTGTTATCCCGAATAAAAATATATCATGATTGCGTAATTGCTTTTCTGTTTGTCCAATAAAGTTTCTAATTAGTTGCAATCATCAAGAATGTGCAGGCTCCTACTTTCTGAAAAAAAATTAACTTAATTTACAAGTAATAAAAAAAAGAAATTTAGGGATGATAAATATTTATGTGTCATGGAAATGGATCATTGGGCTGCACACACCATAATATGCATACTTTAAAAGCGTACTGCTCCGACTTATAGACACAAAACATTCAGTGTTCTAAACCCTATTAGCGTTAAAGACTACAATGTTTTCAAAACACAAATGATATGCCTACAAATTATGGAACTTTAGTGACAGTATAGGTTCATGCAAAAACCCATCACTTTACAGAATGCCCAATTTATTGGCAGGTCCTACTCTCTCTTCTTCTCTTTCTCTATCAAGTATATTGGTTTATCAAAGAGACCAACTAGCTCATATATGCCACAGCACTTGTGGTTCTCAAACAGCTTGGCTACAAGGTGAGGTTGAAAGAGAAACAACAAAGTCCACCAGGGAGTTAAAGACTGGAAGCCCAGATAAAGTAAATCCCTAAGAGTTTAGTAAGCTATGGACTGAAAAGGCTTTGGTCCTGATTGAAAATACCACAAAGGCTAGTTGACAATGACAGGGTTAAGGTCCTGCAAGACTTCCAGATCCAGACAGGCAAGCAAGTACTGGCCAACCAACCCAACATTGTGGTGTGGTAGACAAGGAACGGAAAACTACAGTGGTGGTG